CAATCATTCCGACTTTAATTTTACAAGCAAGCAACTGTGGCGTTGCGTGCATTCAACTAATCAGCGCAGGTGCACGAATCAACTCGGGCCCTTCGACCACACAAATGTCCACACGCATGAGGACAAAACGCCCATTTCCAGAAAACCACTCTATAGCTTCTGCCCTCCCTATATGATTTGATCCTTGGGATCCTTGGGTGGGGCTCAGATGGTTATCAATTTCTTGACGCCGTGAAGATTTATAAGATCAGTTTACGCCTTCCTCCATTTTCCAATCATAACCTCACGTGCTTTGTTGTCAACATCACCAGTGCGGGCTGTTGATCCCACCTTGCTTGAGACGAACAGGTCCGCTACCGGCAGCTTCTTGTTCGTGTCGGGGTGGCCGTAATGGTCCCTGAACAACTTCTCCATTTTCTGCATGTACTGCGGCTTGATTCGGTAGAACATTAGGTCAATGTTCTCTTGTCGGATCCTTTGCATCAGCTGTGGCACAGTCAGCCCATTGGGATCCCCGCGTGGATACCTGGTGCACACACACCCTCACTCATGGAAGGTCCACGCATTCTGCGACTGATTGCTTTGGTGTATTGTGTCAAACGCAAGTGTATCCCTGATGGAATACATTTGTACTTCTCATTAGATTCCAGTGAACCAATCACCGACTCTGCTTTGCTCAGGCAAAATAGGAAGCTGACGGCTACCTCATTGCCTTGTGCCATGCATGTTGGTGTATTCCATCATCATCATCATGATTTTTTACAGAACAACGTTGTGCCGCAAAATCAACCGATCGATTCAGGGGTTCACGATTTGCCAACAACGGGCCAGCGCGCGAACGTGTCCTCCTTCCCGCCAACTCGCCCGCCCCCGCCCCCCACCCCCCAGTGGGCACCCGCGCTCGACGAACCCCGCTCGCAACCCCCTTTCCCGGCTCGCCCGTCTCCATCTCCTTTCGAATTCCCACCCGCCTCCCTTCGAATCGATCGGCCGCGCAATGCGCCGCGGAGCGTCCGGCCATCCCGCCTGACTGACCCCGCTCGCCGTTGGCCCGGGCGCCGGGGGCTGATCGGCCCGGCCGGCGGGCCCGGGGGGCCGGATCCAGGATGACGGCGCCGGAGGGGCGGCACGCGGCGCTGCGCCACCTGCTGGTGGAGCTCACCGGCCTGAGAATCGGGTGGGTGGGAAAGTTTTGGCGGGGAGAGTGGTTGGAATGTGGTGAAAAGGGGGGTGGAGATTTGTTGCAAAGAGAAAGGGAAAGTGGTCGTACAAAGGGCAGCCCCTCCTGAGCAAGTGTGCGTGAGACTCTTGTCCATACTGTGAGAAGATGATGTGGAGCCCCCAGTGCAACAAGATGATCCCGGCCACCACGCAGAACGAGAGAGGGGCAGGGGGGGTGAGGGATAGGTTGCAAAGAGAAAGGGAAACTGGTCGCACAAAGTGCAACCCCTCCTGAGCAAGCGTGAGACCCTTTCCGCACTGTGAGGGGATGAGGTGGAGCGCGGTGTTCAGCAAGATGAGCACAGGCACGACGAAGAGCGAGAGACGGGGAGGGTGCGGGGCACGTTGCGGGAGGACGCAGAGTGGGTTTCTGACGCTGCGGTGGTTATCTGGTGGCAGGGCGTGGAAGGTGCGGCGGAGCTGTGGGCTGTACCTGTTGGTCGCGGAGCGCGTCCGGAAGTTCGTCTTCGTGGTGGAGGAGGCGGATCCGAGCCAGGTGCGGGGAGGGGGGCATGGCGGGCCGCGCCCGCAGATGGGATGCCGGGAGGCGTCGGTGTCGGGGGCGCCTGGCGTGTCGGAACGACTCTGTCGTTCCGGTATCGCCCCGCCCGAAGGCCGCGACAGTGTGTCGGCGGGCTTTGGGAATGGCCTTTTGCGCGCTCTGGCGCCCGTGCAGTTGGACTGCAACGTGCGTCACCCCGCGTTTCGATCAATCGGGAGGCACCCCGCGTCACCGACGGGGATGCACCTCCCCTCGTCCTTTCCACAAAACAAAAAAACAAGCTGATCGTTTTGAGAGGACGGCCCCCATTCCCTGCACTCTCACCTTGCACCCTTTCGCCCATCGCACTACCGTCCAATCGCGACGCTCACCGGGCCTTCCCACTCCTCTTTACAGTCGCCCGCCCGGCTGAAGAAGAAGATCGCAAGGGCCGTGGGTCGCATGCTGGATGTGCGCAGCCCGTTCGAGGCTGGGAGCGGCGAGGGGGGCGCCGGCCGGGTAGTGGCCTTCGAGGTGGCCTGGGGCGACGTGCAGGGAATGGACTACGACAACCCGCTGCTGGTGGACGGCAGGATCGTGCTGGAGGCGGCCATGGTGGCGAGGCGGGAGTTCGAGTCGGTGAGGCGAATTCTGTCACTGGCTAACAGCCTCATCAGAGACCTTTCCCACGAGAATGGAACGTGCGCATCACAATGAACAGTGTCCGTGTCCGCTGAATTTCCTGGGCGAGCGTTTGTGAGACGGTTTCCCGCTACAGTCCTTTAGTGGCAGCTGCTGTGAGCTGGACAGAACACCCCCTTGGCAACGTGACTTGGGCGTTGAGCTTGACTGCATGCATGGTAGTTATGCATGTTTGATCTGCACTCATGGCCTAATAAACTCCCACGCTGTACGCGGGGACGCAGAAGTGTTTTGAGGGAAACGGGAACAGCACACGCACAGAGCAGAGGACATTGCATGTGCTCGGATTGATCACTTGGTCGCATGATCATTTCGGACGTGGGGCCAGTGAGTTGATGGACAACTGTGCTCACTAACCTCCTGACCGCCATCAAAGGTGGTGTAGACTTGCAGATCAGCAGCTGGCATGAAAAGGGCTTACGAAGCCACCTTGTTGTGAATGTCATCCATTCAGAAAAGGAAAACATATTTTGTGTTGGGTGCCATTCTGATGTAGATATATTGCTCTTATCCAGCAAGCAGGAGTTTGTGCACATGCATTTGAGAACAATGGGAGCAGCAAGCAATGCAGAGGAGCACACAGGACTGCATAATTCAATGCGGTGTTGGTGTAACTACCACCCTATTTCCTTGGAAGAAAACGGAAGAAACACAAGCTTTTTGCAATACTTTTATTCCAGAGCATCAAAAAACACATTGAGGAGTACATGTGTGTCCTCACTGAAGAGATGTGGACCTTGTCCCACTTACAAGAGAGCATGAGGAGATGTGAAACCCAAAAGGTTGTTCGTGTGGAAATGCATGCTTAATCTTAAGGAAAAATATGGGCAGCACGGGAGACCAGAAATCTGTTCATAAACAGTTTGCTTGTTCAATTTTTCAAATTGAGAGAGTGTGACTAGGATCTCACATATCTGAAGTGGCCCATGCAGAGCCCTTCTCCTCAACACCGTACTCGTGTTGTGCATATTGGAATCCCTCCACAAAAAGTTAACTCTGCGTTTTGCGTCATGCTGTTGTTGTATTGACTGTGGCAAGAAGCCCTCTCCTATAAACTCTGAGGGATTCGCTGTGGGCTTGCTTTGAAACCATGCAATGCCAGTGCAAGAGAAGAACAGGCCCAACCCATAGGTGGATGTGAATGTACCAACAGCACAACACAAGTGCTTGGATATTTGCATGAATGTGTTCTTAAAAGCAACAAAAAATACGCGAAACTGGTCTTGCCACGTATCTCTGGATTTCAGATAATCAGGCAGTATCTGGTTGCTAGTGGATTAAATTGTCCTCACAATGCTTGGCAGAAGACCATTATCATCAATGTCAACTTCACAACGAAAGTGGCCATGTATCAGGGACCCTTGAAAGGGCAGTGATGCTCCAAGGTCCCTTGTCCCACCCTGCCACCCTCCTCAGCAGACTGTGAGCTTGCAAGCTTGAACTCCTTGTATGTATTTCCTCTAATCATGACTGGTCGATTGAATTGCCACAGTCAGTTGTCCCTCACATGACTGCAAGCTATCTTGCACCTATGACTGAACATACCAGACAGTGACACACTCTTGGGTCAGACTTTCCCAACCATTGCCAGCCACGGTGAACCCTCTGTGCCCCAACGCTGGTTGTCTAAGTTTCTTCTGTGTATCACAGATGTCGCATTTCCAGCAGTTCTACTCAGAAATGATGTACTCTGCCGGCTGGCTGCTGCATCAACCCATCCCAAAGCCCGGCCTCCAAGGCGATGGTGCGTTGCACGCGCTGAGCGAGTCCCGCTCTGTGCCAGAAATGAACCTGAAGGCATTCGTATCTCCAAGCGGGAAGAGTCAAGACGACCGGGGCAGGTGTGGTGAAAAGGGCTGCCACATCCTGACCCTGCTGCATTCTATGCTTAGCCGATTCCTTGAACACAGGACAAGAACAGATGTTCTTTAACAGCGATGATGAGTTATGCTGGCCATTGCCTTGCAGTTGCCAAGATGGCAATTGCCCAAGTGTTGAACTGTAACTAAACAGAATTTTCATCGCCCCGTCCTTGTGTCCTTGTGTCCCCAGCACTGGGGCTGCATCTGCCCACTACCTGTGTCTCCGTCACAAAACTCAGCAGCGTATGCTATTATTGATGCCATACAAAGCAGACTACCCGTCTAGCAACTTGCTGTTATTAGCAGGCCACTGTTCAAATGCTTGCGGCTCAGTGTCAAACATCGTTGTCAAATGAAGAGGTCCAAGATGGTGACACATCTAAAACAATGTGAGCAGAAAATCTGACAGTGCCAAATTTGACACTGTGACTCTCAGTGTTCAGCTGCAGCACTAAGAATTGAGCTAGGTTCCTGGTGCAACCATTATTGCGGGTAACATCTGTCGGACCTGATTGTGCACTATAGTCAGCCACATTTTTGGCCTCCTGCATTGTCCTCTATCCCAGCAACAATATTTTGCTTTGGCACATCTGCCAGACCCACCCACACTCTGCATTGTGTATTAAATCATGCAGCCCCACAAGGATGTGCACATAGTGCACCATTATCTCTGTGCAAGGTGTCTCACCCCAGTTCTGTATATTCGCTTGGGCACCCAAGGCTTAAAAGTGATTGAAGCCTTGGAGATGCACAAGTGGAGTACTGGGAGAGCACCTGCACTCATCACTTGCTTTGCTTACACTTGCATGTGATGCAATACAGGATGTACACCACAGCAATCACATCCTTCTCAGCCATGTTTTCGTTTGCCCACTCTACAGTCTCTTTTTTGTGAGGCAGTGTAGTCTTTGCACTGCAAATACCTCCCCTCATTTATGTTCCTTTCCGCTCTCTTGTGTTCATTACTTTTACCTTGCCATGTGCATCCTATAGGCTTGAGGCAACAACAAACGTTCAGAACAGCTTGGGTGCCAGGGGACAGACAGTTGTTGATGGATCAGACGAGAGCTCTGAATGCTCTGACTGCTCTGACTGGTCTTCGAAGACGTCGCAGAAGGCTGTCACAGTTTATGACTACCGTACCCTGACATGCCACTTTTCTCACAGTGCCATGTCCTCCAGGCTGCGGCCATGTGTTGAGGTTAGTGCAATTCTGTCCTTCCATTTGCTGATGGTTGCAATTCATACCCAGACATCTGCAGGCGTTGGAGGGCAATGTGCTGTGCTGCAATTTAGTTGTCCTTGTCTGCTAAACGCAGTGGACACTGCCTCTGGAGATGATCACATGGCATGCAGCACTGCCTTTGCTTCTTCAGGAAGGGATGCCCACTTTACAGCACGGCCTCACTTCACTGTGAGAAGTTTCTGTCCTTGAATGGAAGAAGGCAGTCCAAAGTCACTCGCTTTCTTGGCCTCTTAAACGACAAATACCTTATGAAACAGCAAGAGCTGTTGGGATAGCCGAGCAATGTATTGAAGCTCGTGCAATAATCAATGTGAATAGAAATATGTGGAACGCACAAAGTTTCCTTATGAGTCATTAACAAAGAATATTAATGGAAGCGTTTAACAGGTCGATTAACTTGTGGCCACCGGCTGTTGTCGTCCAGAGCGACGTGCGCCTCCTGAAGCTGCTGGAGGGCGGAGTGCCCACCTGGGCTGTGTTCCTGCCTGCATGCGGCTTCTGGTACCGCCCCTGGATGCGTACCGTCACATGGCTCGTCTTCATCGCCGTATCCACCATCTCTCTGGCATGCGGCTTTTACGACCTTTACATGAACGTTCCCTTCCTGAAGTCAGCCGTGCTGCGGCTGATCGACGCCATCAACCTGCCGGCAGTGGACATATTGGAATGGCTGGAGGTGCACGTGCAAGTGCGGCTGTCCATACTGCTGACTTTCTTGTATGGCAAGTCGCCCCTCTTCGTGGCCACGCTCAGGGTGTGCGGCAATGCATGGAAGGTGGGGCATGTGTGGCCAAGCCCGCGTTAAGCACTGGAAAGAACGACATTTTCAGTTGTTCATGTTGCCATGGGTGTGCTTCTAATACCCAGAGTTGGATCCTTGTCATGCATGTAAGCTGTGTTTGGCCCTGTCGCTTTTGCCTTGCATTCCCGTTTTGACACCCAGGCACTTCCTTGACAACAAAATGGAAAGCTTGTACCCACATTTCATGACCCAAACCTGACAACTGTGCTGCGCTGGGACCAGGTGATCTCCAACTTCCTGAGGCCCATCGCATTAAGCATCTCTAATTTTTTGCGGCACGTTGCCACCAGCGGGTGGCAGCTTCTATCCCCCCTGGTCTTTGGCCTCAAGACATTTGCCACATCGCTCTTGACCTGCATCTCGTGGGTGCTCCAGTCCCTCCTGGCTATGGTGCAGCAGCCCCTGGCTGTGCTGGCCTATGGCGCCCAGTGCATGGCTGCAGCCATCGAGCCGCTGCTCTCTCTGGTGTTTGTGCCATGGAGGCTTTCAATGACCATGTTCCTGCACCTGCAAAAGAGCTGCCTCTCCATGTTCAGAGTTGGCAGGGATGTGGCGACCACCGCCTCGGCCATCTCTGCCAGCAGCCAGCCTGGGGTGGCTTGGACGTGGGAGGGCGTCTGGGCCAGTTGGCTGGCCATTCCCGCTGACATCCTGGCTCTGTTCAGGACGTCTGCACTGAAGGTGGCCAAGGCAGTTAGGTCAGTGGCGAACGTCCTGTTCCACATCCTGCAGAATGCCAACCAGCACCGGATATCGCTGGGCCTGTGGCTACGGCACCTGTGGATGGTGACAAGGGCATGGATGGTGAATTGGCTGGTGTTCCTGTCGTTTGGGTGGCTGAGCGGGAAAGAAGATGCTGCCTACAGGAATGCGCGTCGCCAGGAGGTGCTCCGCCCGTTGGAGGTCACCGAACATGCAGCAGAAATAAATTGTGTGCAAGAGGGTCACAAGAAGCTGGAGTAGCGTAGGGGTTTACGCATTTACCCAAAGATGAGGAAATTTTTTGATTGATTGGTTTGGAAATTCATTGATGACACTTGCAGAGTTGTGCCAATTCTTGAGCGAGCCCCTGGCTGCAACAGTGGCAGAGGGCGGCGCCCATCAGCCGACCATGTTTTGGGGTTCTCTTGACCCACCGGTTTTTGTTTGCGCTCTCTTGCGCAAGCCGTGTATCAGCATTTGTTGAGTGCTTGGGGCACGATGCAGGGAAAAAGGTGCATTTGGGTATTGGTCACTTGGCTGGTGGAACAACTCCAGCGTGGCTCCAGCGTCCCACCCTATTAGTTCGACATCTGGATGAAGTGCAGTGTGATTCCCATGAAACGACGAGTTTTTGTTCGAGTCGTGGGATATTTTACGATTTTTGGTGGTATTCTTGGCATTGTGGAGAGCAAACCGCCGCGAGTGCTGTCAGAGTGAACACAATTTGTAGAATAGAACACTCGTCTGGTGCGTTAGGGCACTGTGTTTTAGTTCAGGAATCTGTACCAGCAGAGTGTGGAGTGGTCAGGTGTATCCATCGTCATGTGCACCGCCTGGAGGCAATCCAAGTTCAGATGCTGCCCATCTATGTTTTGGGTGCAGTCTTGTCGCCTCATTTGTCATTGCAGCTTGTAAAGTATCTGTCAGTCTTATCGAGTTGCTGTGTGGACCAGAAGATACCAACAAGTGTGTTTGCCTGTTTGGAGTGACACTGGACTCACTGGCATAGATTTTTCACACATTTTCAGTGGCAAGGTGCTCTTTCAAGAGCATTCCAGGACTGCTCTGCAATGTGGAGTTCAGTCGTCGCCATCGTCAGGCCCAAAATCGTGGCAGCCAATCTTCGGCAACACTATCTTGGGACTTACAGAATGGAAGAGCCAACAGTGCCAGAATGTGAGTACCACCAAGCGACACTCACTGTTGCATGCTGCAAAAACACAGCCAATGCACCGGAAGCAGATGGTGAGGAGTTTGGCAATAGGAACAACGCATACCAGGGGGCTTTCTCTGCTGGGTGGGCTGCTCCACTTATCCATCCATTCATCACGATGACAATGCAGGTCGGAAAATGCAGTACCTGCCAGTAAGGCTCGCTAACCATATGCTGCACGTAATACTGAACCTGGCTCTGGCATCACTCTGCAGCATCTACCCGCCACAGTGTGGCGAATGCAAAACTCTTCTTTGACTTTTGGTCACGGTCGAAAAACTGAGGTCCATTTACCAGCTGAGCGACGAAGAGATGTCAGAGGCCAGCTGGCGCAGGTGCCTTGGGGCAATTCTTCCCTGGGCTTCCCATGGACGGCGACCTGTCTTTCTTTCTGCAAGTGCCACCCTGTACCGGACCATGCAGATGAAATTGGGGCCAGTCGATGGGCCCAACCAGGGAGAACGCCGTCCTGGCACATGCACAGCAATGGCAGAATGCCCTTTGTCCAACCTGCACCTGTCCTGAACCCGACCTGGCTCCAACAACCTTTATGGGCGGGATGGATCCCAGCGCGGCGGCACTGCAAGCGGGGCTCGCCATCCACATCGCGGCCAGCTTTCCAAACGAACTGCGACGACGGCGCTCCGCACCGTCGTCTATGACGTCCCCAAAGTCCAACAACGAATCTCAATCGAACGACGCGAGGGTCGAAACATTCCCCAACTGCTGCGTTGCACCAGCCCGCGCGGCATTTTGCAAGCCAAGGGACGCTGCTCTGAAAGATGGGGACACGGCGCTGCGTTGAGGCACGCCTTTACCGCCCGGCGGCATCGCCATCGCGCCCCGTCGACGTCAGGAAAACTGCCCCGCTCCGTGTCGACGCGCCAGGGTATAATCGTCCACGGCAGGGGTAGCTCATCAGGAGCACGGCAAGTTTGGAACAAGTTTGGAACAAGTTGGATCAAGAACAGCCCACATGCACTTCTCTGAAGACCCCCCCTGACGGCTCGTCATTTTTTGCATAGTTCTGTACAAAGTGATGATCATGATGATTATCGGGTTGACCGGTCTCGCACACGCTCGCACGGTCGCTCCCAGGCACGGGAAGCAAAACCGTAACCGGATGCATTACAGGATGAGTGTATCGACTAAATATCAATCACTGCAATAATGTTCACTTTCCCATCTCCATTGTCCCCATGTACATTCACCATAACACCATGTCCACCATATTTACTTCCCACCATCAAAACACACCATGTATCATATATTATACATTAACCGTTCGCTTGCTCTCACATGCTTCCCTGCGCCAAATATACACCCACCGGAAACTCATCCCTTTTCAAATGGCATCCCGATACGGCCGTAACATATCCGTGTGCCTAACCCATACCTTTCCTTCTGGCCCCTGTACTTCCCAAACCGCATTTGTTATGGGGCGAATCAACACCCCTGGACCCTTCCACCATGGCTCGAGCTTGTCCTTGAGTGTTTCGACTTTTGTATTCCATAACCACACCCAATCCCCCGCTCTAAACGTCGACGTTTACCCCATAACGGACGTCCGTTGGATACGCCTTCCCCTGGTCCTGTGGTTTGCCTTCGCGCGCTGTTGACGCGCGTACTCATGTAGCCTGCCCCACACGGCCCTTGAACTGTTCCACAATTGGTTTGGCGATCCAAATGCGAAAGAGGTGCGAGTCTTCTTGTTCTCTTCTGGCGATGACAAAGGCATGTTGTTATAGATCTCCACGGCCTGCTCAACAGTCTTGGCGAAATACTTGGGTTCCTCAGCCCACATGCGCCTCAAACGGTTCAAAAGTGTCTGATTGAACCGCTCTACAAACCCAATAGACGCGTGATGGTAAGGAGGTGAGAACTCCTGTGTCACTCCCTCCTGTGTGCACCACCTTTGCAATTCCTTGGATTGCGTGGCTTTGCAGACATCAGAACACAAGATGGAAGGTGTCCCTCGTGTTTGTGCCCACTTCTTTAACCCCTGCACAATGTCCGCCCCCCCTGCACCCGTGACAGCCCACGCCCTCGCATATCTGGTCAGCATGTCCACGATGACAAGAACAAAACGCTTCTTCCCTATCTTCTTCTCAGGAAACGGCCCCATGAAATCCAAGCCAATGACTTGGCCAGGCTTCTCCGGCACATGCCAACAGCCAAACGGGTTGGATGGTTGCGGTCGATGGAACAACTGACACACCCTGCATGACCGCACTCTATCCGTCACCCAGTGCCATGTTGGACGCAGACCCATCTGGCGAAAACGAAGATATGTTTTTCTGATTCCAAAATGCCCTGCATGGGCCTGCTTCCATTGTGCCTGAGTAATGACCGAGCGATGTCCTTCCACTGCGCGAAGACGAGACGGTCCCAAAATCCAAGCCCCCTGTCTAGACAGAAAATCTGCCAGATAATTAAATGGTCCTGGACAAAATGAAATTTGCGGAGAGTACCAAGAAAGGTGATCAAGGCGCCTCTTGAGGAAGTCGCTCAAGTGTTCTGGATTGTTGAAGCTCACGGCAGCTTGGTTATCCATGATGGCCCGAATAGGTGCACCAAAAATCCATGGTCTGAAAGTCTGAAGAGCTCTGCAAAGCGCTTCCAACTCCAAGACGTTGCTCATATGGTGCTGAAAAGATGTTGGCCACAAACCGTGCGCACAACGAATAATCCGATGCCCAGTCAGTAGCACCGCTCCCCAGCCAAGCTTACTCGCGTCGGTGATCACTGTGAAAGACCCAGGTAATGGCGCCAAAGGAATAGCACATCTGACAAAATGGCAGCGCAGCAAAGAAAGAAATTGTTGCCACCGAGCCAGTGAAGGATGTGCTTGGACGTCACGCAAGGCTGCCAATACCTGATGGCCCTGCCAAATGAACCGAGCAGAGTGGTTCAACCAGCCGCAAATTTGACGCCAACCTGATTGGGTGGTAGGCATAGGAGCTTGCTCAAACTGAGTCAACACTGCGTCCGTCGGTTCCAAACCAGAAGTTGTAAGGGTCACCCCCAAATACTCAAAGCGATCCCGGCAGAACTGGCACTTGTCCCAATTGACCCGCCATCCATCCCGTTGAAGCTCTTCCAATAAAATGGCTAAGTCCTGCTGATGCTGGGCTTCCGACTGGGACAATAAAAGAATATCATCTATATAAAAAAGGATCTGCGACTGAATACGACTAGACACCCGGCGAATGGTTGGCCACAATGCTCTCAAAAACTCATGGGAACTATTAGAGTACCCAAAAGGCAGCCACATGTACTCAAAGAATCTCCCTGCCACTGTTAGCCCAATAGCACGCCATAAACATGGGGCAAGCCGGATTTGCAAATAAGCATTGGACAAGTCGAGTGCTGACCCAATGTGGAACGGACGTAAAGCTGCCAAAGAGAGCTCACGATGGACAGGAAGAAAAGGCTGGTGCTGGACACAAGAATTGAATTTCCGAAAATCCAGCACAAGACGAGTTGAGCCATTCTTTTTGGGCACCCCAAATGCCGGAATGATGTATGGCTCATGGTTCACCTCGCGGACAGCCCCCAACTTCACCAATTTCAAAACCTCCTCCAATACCTTGGCCTCCTCAGCTGGTCCCGTCATACGGCTGGAAGGTTGCATTTTCCAAGGGAGAGGAAAACGAAAAGGGAAGCTGCGGACAATATAAGTGCGACAAGTGCCAAGACCATCTGCAAAAACAGCAGCATATTTGTGGCGCAAGGTAGCCAACCACCTAGGTGGTGCAGCCAATGCATGAACGACATCTCCGTGAAACCCCTGCATTGCCTGACAAAACCCCCGACCCTTGCGACCCTCAGGGATCAAAAACACCCCCTTATCGGGAATCCAAAACCACTGAACCGATGTACGACATGCCAATAGATCATAGCGAGGCATCAACTGCTGTGGCTCAGCAGAGAAATTCTTGAGTGCGCCCCAGATTTGCACACCATCAGTTTTGACAATGAAAGTGACCTGACGGTTGGGAAGCGTCACAAAATATTCCTGCAGAGACCCCACGGGAAACTTGCATTG